ACTTTGTTTTAGATGACGTCAACTGCCTGGTCAACTACTACACGGTACGTTACAGGCCGCCAGCGCAGACAGACACAACACCAAAACATAATACAAACACCCAAACATGCACAAATCCGCACACAGTCACAGAGTCTCTGTTGGCAAGAAAGTACATCCCTGAATGAGCCTGTGTGTACCTTGTTCCAGCACTACTGTGCTACGCATACGCAATGAATGGAGCAAATTGCTGTCAGTGGCCTGCAAAACAACACAAAACACAGCACAAACTCCCAGTTTTTCTGTTGTTTATTTACTGATCATCTTTTTCTCTCCTTCGTCTGGTCGTACAGTCTCNTCAAGAAAAGCTCGTCAAAGGCGATCGACGCGGCTGCATCAGACTAAAGGTAACGTGCCGATTACGATTACAGATTTCATCCACATAAGCTGCTCACTCACTAACTGTTTATTTAATCTCAGGGCGCCCGAGTCGGAATTGAGGATCACGACGACACCATCTTCNTAATCTCAGGGCGCCCGAGTCGGAATTGAGGATCATGACGACACCATCTTCAACATTTCCGTGGACGGGAAAATATTCCACTGTAAAGGTACGTGTGAATAGGATACACAACTCTTACGTCATCAGTCCTTCATCAGTCTGCATACATGTGACAACGGTGTGACAACAACAACAACAACCATTGCATGCACGTGCTTGTGCCGGTGGGTCAGCTCTTAGGAAGAAGGTGCTTTACCTTGGCCAATCACCACCACCACCACCATTGACTTCTATGCTGGTTGATGGGCGACCATCAGAAAACAACAGCAACAGTATCGTCCAGCACAGTATATTGCCACGAAGGCCAGCAGCAGCAGCAGCTTCATACACGCCATCAGACACACACAATAGGCTAATGGTATATAGCCTCGCTTGTCTTCGGCAGCAGCAGCTGTACAGCTACTCAGGCGGAATCAATTTCGTGTACAGGAAGCGTCTACAGACACAGACAGAAGAGTAGAGGGAGAAAAGAGCTGAAAAGCCCGTCTGCAGCACTTTTTGCCCGCCAGCCCGCCTGCCTCTCCTCCTGCCTCCCCGGGCTTGTTTGTTGTTTCTATGGAACTGACTGGTCTCTAACTTCTCTGGAGAGTGTGCTATTCTTCTCGTATTTCTTTTGTCACCCTCTCCACCACCACCACCACCGCTTCCATTAGCTCACCAAGCGCGCGCCTTAATTTTCTCAATTATAAAGCAAAGTAGTAATTTCTCCACCTTTTTCTTCCTTTTCTGCTCTACTTCTACTTCTACCACCCTTACCACACTGGGCACCGGCAGCACAGGACGTCGTAGAGCGCGACCAGTGGGTGAACAGTCTGCAGAGTGTCATTGACAGGCTGCCATCGTTTTCATCCTCCTCCTCAGGCCGACGCCCAAGGCCGCCACCTCATCACGCCGGTGCTCATCAACTTGAGCCTCACTCGCCCTACCAAGTACCGGCCAGTTCTCTCAGCCAGCTACAACTACTGCGCGGAACTGGAGGACCGCCACCGACAATTGAGGCCTTCAATCGGAAGCTAACCGAAACCGACTCGTACCTGCAGATACTGATCAATCAGTTTGCCGGCCTGAAGCTAGAAGAGCGCATTCAGAACTGCGGCTCTTCAGAGGCGGAACGGGAGCAGCTGCGAAGTCTGAAGGAGCTGTCGGTGTACCTGCTCGACTCGATCAAGCACACCATTGTTCTGCTGCAGATTGCCAAGGTACGTAGTTCGGTGCAGTTTTCTTGATTTGCTATGGTTTATTTACTAAAAAACGCTTTCTTTATTACAGAATGTCAAATACCCGGTGAACGGCGTCCCGCTGCAGGATATCAGCACTGGCAACAGCAGCGACAGCAGCACCATCTCCGCCACAAACGCCGACAGTCTAGGTCCAGCTGGCAATAACAAAACGAACGACAACAGCAAATACCCGGTGACACCTAACCGCAATGAGCACCGAAATCAGCTGCTGTCCGCCTCCTCACTACCACCCTTAGCCTTAGCCAGCAGTCTCAGCGAGGAGATGAAAGAAGCGCCCTTACACCTTGCCCAGCTCAACTCGGTGTCACCCACCAGTCTCAAAGAGACTGCCGCCTGCCTTATCAAGTCCAGCGAAGTGCCTGACGTGTCCTACGCCAGCAGCGACGACGAGGACTGCTTCTACGATGCACGTGAGGATAGCTTAGCGGAGAGCAGCAGCAGCAACGTCTTATCGCCCGTTAAAGAGATGAAGAACATTATTAGTTTTAAAAGTAGTGCCGGTGATAGTGCCGTTTCAACCGGTGAAAATTTGGAAGGTGACGTCCAGGAGGGCCAGCTGACTGACTACGACCACCTCTACGACACCGACTCTGACGACGAGCTGGACTCGATGGAGTCGCACGGCAGCGTCATCTCCCACCTCATCTCTCAGGTAAAGATCGGCATGGACCTCACCAAGGTCGCCCTGCCCACCTTCATCCTCGAGAGGCGGTCACTGCTGGAGATGTACGCCGACTTCTTCGCCCACCCGGACATCTTCGTCAGCATCACCGACCAGGAGACGCCACAGGAGCGGATGGTGCAGATGGTCCGCTGGTACCTGTCCGCCTTTCACGCCGGCCGCAAGGGCTCGGTGGCGAAGAAGCCCTACAATCCGGTGCTCGGCGAGGTCTTCAAGTGCCACTGGAACCTGGACACTAGCAGTAGTGCAGAGTCGGCGGAGGTAGGCGATTCGATGTTTTTGATTGTTTATGCCTTACTGAATTTGTTGTTTACCTTTTTCCCCAGGCCAACCAGTGCAGCGATGGGCCCGTCTCCTGGGCAAAGAGGGGCGACCTGACGTTCATTGCCGAACAGGTCTCCCATCACCCGCCCATTTCGGCATTCTACGCGGAAAGTATAGACAAGCGAATCATGTGCTGCGGTAAGTTGTGAAACATCGAAAAGATAAATCGAAAGTTATCTCACTTTATCACCTCTTCACTGTGAATTAGCCCACATTTGGACAAAGAGCAAGTTCCTCGGCCTGAGCATCGGCGTGAACAACCTCGGTCAAGGGTCGGTGTACCTGGTGGACCACGCGGAGGAGTACACCTGCACCTTTCCCAGCGCCTACGGCCGCTCCATTCTCACTGAGCCGTGGTTCGAAATGGGCGGTCCGGTGGAGATCAACTGCGTCCAAACGGGCTACTACGCAAAGGTGGAATTTCTCACCAAGGCAAGGACGAATGATGCTCAGCAAATCATTTTCGGTGATTTTTACGCATTTTTCTTTCTCTCATTTTTGCAGCCCTTCTACGGCGGCAAGAGGCACCGCATCAACGCCGAGGTTTTTGGCCCGCCGCCCACGAAGAAGCTGATTGTGAGCATCACCGGCGAGTGGAACGGCGTCATGACCGCCAAGTGGGCGGCCACCGGCAAGAGTGAGATCTTCGTCGACACGAAGACGCTGCCGGTGATGAAGAAGCAGGTGACGCCCATCAGTGAACAGGAGGAGTTTGAGTCTCGGAACATGTGGAAGGTGGTGACGGCGGCGCTCAAACGGCAGGACGTCACCGAGGCGACCGCCGCCAAGTACGCCATTGAGCAGCGCCAGCGAGAGCTGGCCAAGGAGCGCGAGGAGAAGTCGCTCAAGTGGCAAAACAGGGTAAGGATGTGGGCATTGATTGAGGGTAAACATTTTATTCATAAAGTTCATTTCACAGGCGTTTCACAGCTTAACCCCCGAGAAGTGGCTCTACAATAATCCACTGACGAATCGTCTCAAGTGATAAGTGTCTACTTTATCTCTCTTTCTCTCTGCCTCATCTCTGCATACCACTGCATAGTATTTCACATACTCGAACTAGTATTTTTATAGCTCACACACACACATTAACTGTTTTCTATTGATTTTATATTACTCTTGCTGATACTGGTGATTGCCACGAGATTATATTGATGCTTCTCTCACTCTCTTTCCCTCTCTCCTGGACCAGTCTTCTTGGTCTCCTTCCCAGAGTGACCCTTCTAGTCAGTAGAACTGTTCTGTGTACAGATTGTCGGTTTGTTGGGTTGTTTTGAACTACAAAAAGACAGACCGATGTACACAAGCCTCGAGCGAGCTCCTGCCCCTTTTGAACCTCCTGTTTTCTACTAACACACTGTGCAACAAATCAAATTCACAAATAGCAAATAAAGAAAGTACCGAGCTCAGTACACGTACTCAGTGCTCAGTGGGCCTTTCTATTGCAACTGCACTGGGTCCCCTGTTTGACCGGTCTGACCGGTCTGAGAACATGTGCTCACGCACACCTGCACACTCTTCTCTGTAAACAGTCATCTTCACACGTGGGCACGTTCCTGTGTTTTGAAGCCACTTTTCTACTCTCTTCTTCATCACTGATCATCTCAACCGGAAACATGGCACCAGCACGTCGCCCCTTACCAGACCTTTGCCTGATTGCCGTTTTTAAGCAGCTGAAGCCGAATGAGCAGATTAAGGCCGCCCAGATGAGCCCTCGCTCTGAAGCTCTGGTGCGAGCCGCCAACAGACGTCTTCGGTCGCTGGTGATCACCACGTGGGAGAACTACAAGGGAGTGGGCAAAAACGTGGACGCCTTCTCGTTGGCAGCAAAACCCAGCATGAAGTTGTTGGGGAAAGATGATGCTGTTCATCCTCACGTTCATCCCTGTTTTGTCGACTTTCCAGTGACCACTCTCAGCGACTGGCGATGCCTGCTGCTGAATCCCTTTGACCCTTTCTCCAGCTTGCCTAGCACTGACTTGGTTGTCCGCCTCTTCCCTTCGGTCACCCGTCTGACGGTCATCTCTCTCAGTCTTCGCCACTCCCAGTACACTGCCGATCTGCTGGAGCACCCTCGGTGGGCAGAACAGCTGACCAGTCTGATGCTGGTGGACTACGAGTGGATGGTCGGCGGTGTGGTCCGTCGTCTGGCCGGCGCCATCAACGGCCTCTCTGCTCTGGAGCACCTCGCACTGCACTGGCAGGTGTCCCGCGCCGAGGATGTGCCCGACCTTGGGCGGGCGCTCGCCCACCTGCAAGTCCTCGGCCTCTACTTGAACTGGTCTATTGTGATGCCCTTTCTGCTGTCTCTGGAGCCATATGCCGCAGTGGGCAATGGCTTTCGTTTTCAGGTGCACCTGGTCAAGTACATCTTCAGCGACTCCAGTCTACTCGCCCTCAGTGAGCCCCTCCGTCGGCGACTCGTCCGCTACGGCACCTACTCCATTCACTACTGCGACAACTGGGCACTGCTGGGTCGACAGCTGCCAGCGCTTACCTCAATCAGCGGCGTCAGTCTGANACTCCATTCACTACTGCGACAACTGGGCACTGCTGGGTCGACAGCTGCCAGCGCTTACCTCAATCAGCGGCGTCAGTCTGAAGCCCTCCCAGGCTGGACGCCAGCTCAGTGCACTCTCCACCCTGCCGCAGCTAGTTCATCTCGGCTTGGAGGTCAATTTTCTTGTTTTTAAAGAACCTTTAGAGTCTTCAGAAATGTTGGT